GTGTGTGTGTGTGTGTGTGTGTGTGTGTGTGTGTGTGTGTGTGTGTGTGTGTGTGTGTGTGTGTGTGTGTGTGTGTGTGTGTGTGTGTGTGTGTGTGTGTGTGTGTGTGTGTGTGTGTGTGTGTGTGTGTGTGTGTGTGTGTGTGTGTGTGTGTGTGTGTGTGTGTGTGTGTGTGTGTGTGTGTGTGTGTGTGTGTGTGTGTGTGTGTGTGTGTGTGTGTGTGTGTGTGTGTGTGTGTGTGTGTGTGTGTGTGTGTGTGTGTGTGTGTGTGTGTGTGTGTGTGTGTGTGTGTGTGTGTGTGTGTGTGTGTGTGTGTGTGTGTGTGTGTGTGTGTGTGTGTGTGTGTGTGTGTGTGTGTGTGTGTGTGTGTGTGTGTGTGTGTGTGTGTGTGTGTGTGTGTGTGTGTGTGTGTGTGTGTGTGTGTGTGTGTGTGTGTGTGTGTGTGTGTGTGTGTGTGTGTGTGTAGGAAAACATCAATGCCAAGATTGATGCAGTGGCGGACGCGGAAACGGTAGACGAGAAATGGAATGCGATGCGGGACGTGGTGACGGCGGCAGCTGCGGACACTCTCGGTCATCAGAGGAGACGGCAGCCTGATTGGTTTACGGAAAGCCAGGACGGGCTGCGGCCACTGCTGGACGCGCGCAATGCATGCTATCGAACATGGATCACTAGTGGCCGAAATCAGGAAGAGTATTCGTGCTACCGTGTTGCGCGCACGAGGGCTCGCGCTGCCACCCGAGCTGCGAAGAATGATTGGTTTGCTGCCATGGCACAATGTACTGAGAAGGGGCGCTTTGACTCGGCGCGCATTTGGGCCGGTATCAAGACCATGCAGACGGCTCGGCGAGGGCTTGTGGGTGTAACTGCAGTCGCTGTGCGGGACAAGAACGGAAATGTCTGTAATTCACCGGCGGATCAGGGCCGCACATGGCACCGTCACTTCTCCAAGGTTTACAATGTTCCAACCTCGTATGAACCTGCGACTGTTGCCACCATTGAGCAACAGGAAGTGTGTGAAGACCTCGCCGATCCACCTACTCTGGAAGAGCTTAGGCAGGCTGTGCGCCGACTACGGAACGGAAAAGCAGCAGGAGGCTCTGGAATCTTACCGGAACTGCTGAAGGCTGGTGGGGATGGCCTCATGATGGCACTACTAGACCTTGTCCAGACAGTGTGGAATGCAGAGCGGGTGCCCCAGGAGTGGGTGGACTGCCAGCTTGTCCCGATACCAAAAAAAGGAAATCTATCCAGCTGTGACAATTGGAGGGGCATCGCTCTTCTGGAGGTGGTAGGAAAGGCTGTTGCTGGCCTCGTCCAGACAAGATTGCAGTGGCTCGCGGAAGACATCCTACCAGACACGCGGTGTGGATTCTGCAAAGGCAGATCTTGTGCGGACATGATCTTCGCGGTGAGACAAATATCTGAGAAACTATATGAACATTGCTGCTCTGGTTTCATGGTTTTTGTTGATCTACGGAAGGCCTATGATTCCGTCACCCGTAAGTGCATGTGGGAAATTCTCCGGAAGGCGGGCATACCTGACAAGCTGGTTACCATTATCAGCTCATTTCATACCTCTATGTCTGCAAACCTGTCGATCCCGGGCATCGAGGCCGAGCCTATTGAGGTGCAAAATGGCCTTCGACAAGGTTGTTGTATGGCCCCAGTATTGTTCAATATATTCATGTGGGCAGTATTCCAGCTGTGGCAGCGTGAGGTTGCGGACATACCTGAGATTGGACTTCCCGTCTCCTCTAACTCTGGACCGTCTCTCCTTTTCAAACGCCAGAAGACTGACACAATCAACATCCATCGTGACTGTCAATTCGCAGACGATTCGGCACTTATTGCTACAACTCACCATGGTGCCACACTTGCGCTCAGCCGGTTCATGGACGTCGCAACTCGCTTCGGCCTCACCATCAACCTATCAAAAACCAAAGTAATGGCGGTCGGCTTCGGCATTTCTCCGGAGGATCGTCGTCCATTGGTGGTTGGCGGGGAAATTGTCGAGAATGTGCATGACTTTCGCTACCTAGGCTCCATCATCCATACTGGTGGCCGCACCGCAGTGGACACTCGGTCCCGAATAGCGTCAGCATCTAGGGCATTCGGAGCATTGCGTCGATCTGTCTTTGATGATGGCGATCTTTCACTGGCAACGAAGCGAATGGTGTATGATGCATGTGTGGCTTCTCTTCTCCTTTACGGAGCGGAGTGTTGGGTACCACTGAAAAGCGAGCTTGCGGTGCTGTCCGCCTTCCATCTTCGCTGCATTTCCGCAATCTTAGCCCTCGGTAGAAGAGACACCTGGGACTTCCACATCAACAGGAAGACCATTCTGGAGGCCTGGAATCGTCGAGATCCAGTGGATATTACCACACGTGTTCTTCGCCGCCGTCTGGAGTGGCTAGGCCATCTAGCTAGGATGGACGGCGATAGAACTCCGCGCCAGCTCCTGTTTGGTGCGCTCCTTCCGCCGAGGCCGGCTTGCGGTCCTCGGAAACGGTGGCGAGACTCTGTCAGAGCTGACCTCTCCGCAGTGAACATCGACCACACGGAATGGTACGACCTCGCCCAGGAGCGTGGGAAATGGCGCAGTGCGTATTCCGCTCAACCAGTACCGCGATCGGCTCAGCGTGACACTTCTGTGCTCTGCGATGTTTGCCAGCGTACTTTCGCCCACCAGAAATACAAGAATCGCCACAAGTGCCTGGCCGAGAGGAGGAAGCCCATATCTGAGCAGTCCGGCAGCCGACTATGTAATGCGTGCGGGAGATGGTTCTTGAGTGCTGGCGGGCTAGCTTCGCATAAGTGTCTCTCCAACTCGGCTGCTGAAGTGGCGTCGGTCTCGGCTGTGGCATCGGCAGACTCGGTCCGGAAACAGCGGGTTTCCCTGCCCTGCTGCAGAGCGCATTGTCTCGGCCGCGGTCGCTGCTGCAAGTCATCCCGTGGTTTCGACCTGCATAGCTGTGCTAATTTCCTGTCCAGGAAGTAGAGCGGCGTTTCTGGGTCCAATGCTGAACTCAGTGCTGTCGACCCCTGCACAGGGGACACGTGACCATTTGATGGCAGTGTTACCAAGGACCAAGGTGTGTGTGTGTGTGTGTGTGTGTGTGTGTGTGTGTGTGTGTGTGTGTGTGTGTGTGTGTGTGTGTGTGTGTGTGTGTGTGTGTGTGTGTGTGTGTGTGTGTGTGTGTGTGTGTCGTCTACAGCAACCACAACTAATCCACCATACAAGCCCACTATTGAAAGACAAAGACGATCAACAGCCAACTACAATAGAAATTACGCACTCAACGGACAAGGGTGTAAGGAGGGACGTGAGAGCAGGGTGACGGCCGAGTCCCGTTCAATGGACCATGTCAGGCGGGATAACAGAGAGAGCGCAGAGGAAGCAGATGATGGGACGGACGGTGAAGGGAGCAATGAGTCGGAGAGCGACGATTGTAGTGATTGTGAGAGTGCCGTTGAGAATGTTAGTGTTGTGCGTAGGTTTCGTGGTAGCAAGTCTTCAGTGTACAATCATCTGTTGGCTAGTCCTGATTGTTACAATTCGTATTCCGACTCTTCATTCACTGTATTGTGCCATGGTCGTCATGGTCATGGACTACAGTTAAAGGTTTTGGAAGCCATCTGTCAACGTCTGTATAAGCCTAATTAGTGTGTACAGAAAGATAGTATAATTGGGTTGAAATTGTTCAAGTAAAGTGTCATGTTTGGTGCGGCCAAGCTTGGCCGTTAATGTTCTAGGTGTAATGTACTGCTGTTATTTGTTATCACTTTGTCCTTCCTTCTTTTTTTCTCTTCTTTGTTCACTTTTTAGTGTTAGTACACACATTCGTTATTGCTCTCGCTTTCATTGTTAAAATTCACACTTGTAAATTTCACTGCTGTTGTTCTTAGTGTTATTTCTCTAACTTAGATTTTCTATAATAGTTCAACTTTGTTTTCAGTGTCCCTTAGTACAACGAACTCCTTTTCCTTTCTACATTATTGTTATTGTAGAAAGGAAGAGGACATATGGATATGAGTTGAGAGTAACTCTCCTTCACTGTAACCAGATTCTATATACAGTCAGAAAGATGATGGAGAGTTATTATTATTATTTGAGGGTTTCCCCAAAGGCCGAAGCCTAAATCAAGGGGATCTCTGGGAATAAATATACGTGTACAATACGTGTACAATAGGGTGCAATTTGTCAAGGAAGAAAATACTAAGATTGCTAAACACACAGACATCATGGTGTCTGCTTTTCCACCGTATGTGGATGCGGCTGCATGATGCAAGGAAGGCAGCATGCCAAGCATTTGGCTCACAGAAAGCAGATGACAGTAGCTAACTCTGGCTTAGGCCGAGTAAAAAAAATTACTAGATGATCGTCCTTTTTTTTGGAAAAATCGGGGAGGGCGGGAGGATTTTATTTTTATTTTTTTACTTTTTACCCTCTCATGCACACAGTGTACACAACAACATCAAGGTTTTTTTTCTCTTTTTTTCTTTTTTTTTCTTTTTTTCTTTTTCTTTCTTCAGCAGATCGATACTGACGTTGTGATATACTAGTAGTATGTGGTCCATATAGTAAAGAAAGTATTAAACAAAGCGTGCACATGTTTCCTGCATCCGCGATCGGTAAAAAACCAACGATTTCGGCAAAAACTCACGATTTAAAAAATAAAATATTTCTTGGGGCGCTGACAAAAACTGGGGCGGACGGGGACGATCATCTAGCTTTTTTTTTTACTTGGCCTTAGACCTGCTTGATCATAGTGGGAAAGGACGGCTTAGGTACTGTAACATAATGATTGTATGAAAACTGTGGCGTATATGACTTTTTGGAGGAATTTTTGAAGGCTTCTACATGAGGCAGGTTTTTCTATGCATGCCAACACTAAAACTAGGCTCACGTGCGGACGGTGTATCTTGAAAATCAGGTTTCTATTCGAAACGGGCTTCTATATGAGACAGGCTTTAATACAAGACAATGCGGTACTTACCAGTGTTGTCGGATGTCCCTGGAAATCCTGCATATGCAAACACACACAACAAGCATGGCAAAAGGCTGAAGCTTCGTTAACTCTGCTCAACTGGTCGACTCTTCCAAGTGTACGAAACTAAACTTGTCAGTGTGTTTCGCATGAGTCCCGGACTCAGTAAGTGACGGTGAGCGTATCGTTAACCTTGTATTTGTGTTGGTTTGTGTCTGTGTGTGTCTTTCTTTGGAGTTGGACGGAATTATTGACTGACTAAATGTCTGCCTTTACAGGACTGAAAAGGGGGCACAAATTTATTTTCGAATGCGACGTCAGACGCGCACGTGCAAGGATGAGAGCTTTAAACTGAACCAGTTTCTTCTGCCACCGTCAGTCCAGTGACCAGGCCACCTCTTGAAATCAAACCGTTCATGGACACTGGCAAACTCTTGTAGACAAAACTCTTAACAAGTCAAGCATGTTCATTCCAACACTGATGAAAAAGGGTGTACTAGTGTTTTTCGGACGTGCTTTGGCTGTCATTGTGCGTCATGTAACAGAGGCTTGTGAAGTCCTTCGATTGTCTCAGAACTACTTTCAGTGCACCGTTTGTTGGGGTGTTTAACGCCCGTGGAACTTTGAACACACAAAATTCACCATCAAAAATCGGGTGCGCTTTTTACTCCGGCGGGAAAATGAACGAGGCCAAGTATAGTAAAGTCCTTCAATCTGAGTGTCATTGAAGTAGGTATCGATTCAAATTACGCAGGGTACGGTCACTACGGTATTGGCCGTACCACTTTTTGCCCCAGGTACCCCGTGATCCAATAAAAATACACTGATCAGGGATCTAAATTTCCAAAATATTTGGCTCAGCGATCCCTCCCCCAACAGTAAACTGCAGTTCAGATGGTTGACCCTACCACACTAAAATACCTTCCGACGCCCCTGTTACGGGTGCGATTTAATGCACCAAATATGGTATAATGTGGATGCCTATGGTTTGGGACCTAAACAGGAGGTGTGACTTCTACTCCGGTGCCGCACACTCTTGATCGTACATGTAGCGGAGAAGGACGGTTTACATACTTACCAACAGTCGAGGATATCTCCACAAATCCTGCACATGCAAACACACACACGCAAACACACACACACACACACACACACACACACACACACAACAATTATGGCAAGAAAAGTTTCTGCTTCGTTAACTCGGCTCAACTGGTCAACTCTTCCCAGTGTTGGAGACTAAACTTGTTAGTGCATTGGGTGTGTTTTGCATGCGTGCGTGAGTGTATTGTTACCGTTTTCTTCATGTGTGTTTGTGTGTTTGCATGTTCGTGGATTTGTGTGTGGTTGTTAGTTTTCTCTGTTTTTGTTTGTGTCGATTTTAACTTCGCACAATGCCAGTAGTCTCGTACTGTGAAACCGGGAATTTTCGGCCGCGTAATATTTTCGGTATCCGGAAAATCAAACAATTCTCTGATCAACCCGACGTGTGGATACTCACGGTATTCGCAGAGCATGTGGAACTCGAACGTGGGGTCGTGAACCTTGTCGTCAAAGGTCCTAGGTTGAATGGGATCCGATTCCTTCCAGATGTGATTGGGTTCTATACCGCGTTGGAAGATCAGGTCCGTCACGCATGGCGACGCCGGGACGGCAACACGAGCCATCTCGTAATTCCGAAGTTTGATTTGACGGCAAGATTCGAGTGCTGACGCATACGTGTCTCTTCCCGCTAGTGGTTTGTACACAGTCCGAGTGCCGGGGCATCGCACTAGTGGAGAAAGGAGAGAACACATGCAAATGCAAACACGATGTTGTTGTTCTTTTCCATTCCATATATGCATGTGCACTTTCGTAAAAAATACTTCAAAGTATGAATAAATAAAATATACCATGATAAGCAAGCAATCACACGGCCTGATCGAGAGGCATGAGCGCATTTGCAACCAGTTTGTTACCGCACACAGTACTGCTACCTAACAAACATACTGCGCCAAGCTGAGTTTACGCCGAACGAGCCAAGCGATATGGCACAAGCTAGGTGAGAGAGGAAGTGGACGGTGGAGAGAGGAAGTGGACGGTGGAGAGAGGAAGTGGGCGGTGGAGAGCGGAAGTGGGCGGTGGAGAGAGGAAGTGGACGGTGGAGAGAGGAAGTGGGCGGTGGAGAGGGGAAGTGGGCGGTGTAGAGAGGAAGTGGGCAGTGGAGAGGGGAAGTGGGTGGTGGAGAGAAGAAGTGGGCGGTAGAGAGGGGAAGTGGGCGGTGGAGGGAGGAAGTGGGCAGTGGAGACAACAAGGGAGGGGTTGCGGGGAGGAATTGGGACAGGGGAGGAAAGGAGGGGGATGGGCAGGAGAGAGGGTGGCACGATTACTGATACCGTAAAACCTGCTAAGGCACCACTCTGATGAGCGACCACCTGTGCCAGAAGATCACTGTTAAATGATTATTGAGAATGAGACCACCAAATATCAGAGACCAGGTTTTGAAGGTGCCTTAAGCGGTCGTCTTAGGCAGATTTCACTATAATAATCATTGTTGGACAATTGCCTCAGTCAGTGGGCCAGTACATTTCACTGCTCAACGCCTAGACTTTAATCAACACTAATGAGAGCACATTTTTTTCTCTTACATGTTCCACACCCTATGGCAGACTATGCACAGATCAGGTCCCTACCCAAGTCATGTGGAACATCCAAGATATCATCTATATCGATAATTTTTGCAGAAGAGAATACGACGGAGACGAGAAGGATCCATGACAATCTAAATGCCGTTGCCTGAGACACACAAAGATTTGAAAAGCAAAAAAAGCATACAGACATACATCAGCACTCAGAAAAATGTTTTGCCCTGGCCAGAACATTTCCGAATCCCGTGTAAAAATTCTGAAAGTTGTGTATGCATCAATACTGGTATTCTCATTGTAGTCTGCCTTACAGCCCTCTCTCCATTCCCTCTCATGCTATTTACCTTCCTGACAATGTTTTGTAGAAGATTCGTGATCAACTCTTTTTTACCATCCCTACTTTTTCAGCAAGCAGCTAAACTTTGATTTCTTTTTATCCGATTCCCGTGCCTGTATTTCTATTTTCTCTTATTGGCCGCGGGCCATCGTGAGAATAAAAAGATTCAAAGATGGCGAAGGTGCCATCGTTAAAATAAAGAATTCAAATTCAAAGTGAAAGGAATTTGGGTGGACACACCCATTCCAATAGCGCTGTACATCCGATATCCTATCCAAAGATTTCTCTTATTGCGGCTTCACTGTCAAGGCATTTTCGGTCTATGACCACTTGGTGGTGAGCTGATCTTCTCGCCTCCCACCGCTTTAGGAGCTGCATCTGCGCCTAGATCATTGATGGGTGGTGGCGTTCCTATGGATGCAGAAAACTCGGCCTCTAGCCGAGTCTGACGCCAACTGTGATTTGTTTTATCAAGGCACTGTTCAAATCATGTTCCCACATGGGAAAGTTGGGAGGAGAAAGGTTAGAAACACTCTACAAAACCGCGTTATGATCTAACGAATGCTCATGGCTTTGTAGCCCTGTTTTTTCTGTTTCTTTATTGTCCTGAATGCCACAAGTGAAGTATGCAAACCCGCTTATTATTATTTTATTCGGGTGCTAGTAATATTGACAAAACTAGAAGCCAGTTTTTCGAAGCGCGAGGTGACACAGAAGCACGGTTTGGATAGCAGCCGCTCTGTGCAACGACACGTGCTTGTACTTGCACACTACACACGTGACGATGTGCACTGCACAGTGTAGACTGAAGATGTTGACCTAGAAGCATGTTTTGAGTAGAAGCATAGCTTGAATAGAAGCGTGGTTTGAACCCTGGCTTATACGGCCGTCAGCACCTGCTTTTATACGCGACATTACGGTATTCGCGGTGAGGTCAGATTTTAGTACAGTTTCCCCTGCCCTAGTCCCCCTCCATGCACCTTACCTACAAATGTTGTTCTTCTTTGTTGTCTCATGCGCATAGAAATGGATATTCATTCTCCCAGAAATTCAACAGAAAGTGGAGGGTTCAGATCGCATTAATATTTATTAATATTTTGGTACTCGGGTATTGAGCCAATAATAAAAGTAGAAAGGAAAAGGACATATGGAAACGAGTTAAGAGTAACTCTCCACCACTGTAACTAGATACTACATACAGTCAGAAAGTGCAACAACTAGGCACAAAACTGACATGGTAATATTATTTTCATGTGAGTCAATACTTTCCTTCGCCCTGCAGAAATGAGGACTAAGCTAGCAGACCCTTGCAAAAAAAAGGAAAGCCGGTTTTCAGTTTATATCTACCCTAGTCTGTGCAAGTACTCTGTGAAATTTGCAAAGTTCACTTCCAAACCCCACGTGAGGGGGTGAGGACACACTGGTTTTGTGTACCCAGTTGCCACGAAGTTAGTTGTCAACGACCTGACGTCACAGTTTCCAGCCCTGATCACCAGTTTTCATTTCAGGTGTAAACACTTGTAGTCATTACTAGTCAATTAAACAGCACACACTAGTTCCACGCAATGAGCAGCACACACTAGTTCCACGCAATGAGCAGCACACACTAGTTCCACGCAATGAACAGCACACACTAGTTCCACGCAATGAGCAGCACACACTAGTTCCACGCAATGAGCAGCACACACTAGTTCCACGCAATGAGCAGCACACACTAGTTCCACGCAATGAGCAGCACACACTAGTTCCACGCAATGAGCAGCACACACTAGTTCCACGCAATGAGCAGCACACACTAGTTCCACGCAATGAGCAGCACACACTAGTTCCACGCAATGAGCAGCACACACTAGTTCCACGCAATGAGCAGCACACACTAGTTCCACGCAATGAGCAGCACACACTAGTTCCACGCAATGAGCAGCACACACTAGTTCCACGCAATGAGCAGCACACACTAGTTCCACGCAATGAGCAGCACACACTAGTTCCACGCAATGAGCAGCACACACTAGTTCCACGCAATGAGCAGCACACACTAGTTCCACGCAATGAGCAGCACACACTAGTTCCACGCAATGAGCAGCACACACTAGTTCCACGCAATGAGCAGCACACACTAGTTCCACGCAATGAGCAGCACACACTAGTTCCACGCAATGAGCAGCACACACTAGTTCCACGCAATGAGCAAAACTACTAATGACACCCGAAAGTTCCCATCTCCAGCAATGCTCCGGTCAACATTAATGTGGAGTAATTGCAACACTTAAAAGACCGACAATAGTCGTTTTGACAGAGCGCAATATCATGTTTCCTAGAGGCGACAAGAATCGCCTCTTAAGGAGTCTCTCTTGTTTAGCAGAACACCCCCGTATGGCAATCACACCCTCTTACCATGTCGACCATCCGGGAAGGACAGGTAGTACTGCAACGGTCAGCCGCCAGCACACAAGCAGCCACAGCAGCAGCTGGTTGATAAAAACGAAACAATAGTGCGGATTCACCGAGAGCAGCAAATCAGCTGCAACCACTGGGAGCACGGAGTTAACCTAACCGAAAGGCAAGAGCTCAATCGCAGTATGAAAAAAGTAGAAGTTGTGATTTTGATTAGGAGGGAGCGACGCTAGCTTGCTACTAGTACACGTTTAGGCACCCAAGACGGCAGAGGTCGTATCTGTTCACAGGGGAGACAGATGAATCCCATGTACTACGAAGACTACTACATTACTTATTAGGGGGGTAATGTGCATGTAGTGGATCTGTACGTGTTGCTACTACTTCCGCGCGAGTTTTCGGGCACGTTTCCACCCTCTTGCCTGCTTTTCATAGTATACTCGCGTCCCTGATATGGTGGCAAGTTCCCTTTTGGGATATGTGGCCCCAGCGCTGGGAATGCGTGCGATGGTACTACTATTTTAGATAGCGCTAACGTATAACATCAGGGCCACTTACGCACTTCTGCTACAGTTTAGGCTGCCGCCACACTAGGTAAAACATGTACGCATGTACTATAAAATTAATGCCGCTTTTTGGTATAATGTCGTCAATGTCGTCAAGGACACATACGGGAAATCCGTATATGTTTCAGCAAGTCGTGGACCTGCTACTCTCGCTTCCCAGCTGGGTTTTCGGCAGTAGTCCGGGATCCGAGTACTCAAAAAACGTCAAAATCACAAGGTTTGCTGCCACCAAAACCCGAGTGCCTGCGAATTACATAGATCGATTCCTTAGATATCAAAGCTGTAGAAAAGCCTTGTTGGACGTCCTGGATCGGGGAAGGGAAGTCGTAGGAAGCCCGATTCGTCGTCGGAAAACATCGTCCCAAGATATGGAATCCATATACTGCCCTCTCCATATTTTTAGTACGGAATATATTGTTGTTGTTGTTGTTGTTACTTTATTTTACTTCACCAGAATTACAGGCAGTAGAATGCCTTCTCACTAGACCAGGTCTAGTTCTCACAAATGATGAAGAATGTGAATGAACCTGCTAAAGCTAATGAAAAACAAGAAATAGAAAAAGAGGAGAAAAACTTGTGTTTTATATTTTATGACGGTATGTGTATGTGAGTGACAGTGATTACATGACAAGGGAAAGAAAATAAAAAGATAGAAAGAAAAGAGTAAGGAAAAGAGTAAGGAATAAACGAATATAGCTGACAAAGTACCATTTTTTCTTTTGCTTCACATTATCATATTCATCAAGTAGTAGGAGCCGTGGTTGGCTCTGGCCATCCCGGCAAGAAGGCAGATATGCCTGTTCGATTGGTGAATTCAAACGAGAGAGCTTGGAAGCTCAGGGCCCTACGCTATGCTTTTTTGCCTTGATGACCGTCTCCCACTGGGGTTCCAAGTGGAAGGTCACCTTCGAGCCATCCAAATCTCAGGCCCTTATCATCGACCACCGCAAGCCTCCCCCAGCGTTCCCACCAGTGCTCTTCAATGGAGTGACTGTTCCTGAAGAGAAGGAAATTAAACTTCTGGGCATAGCATTCGACTCGCAACTGTCCTACGCAGCACACCTCCGGGCCGTGGCCTCAAAGGCTGCCCAACGCCTACACTTCCTGAGAAAGGTTGCGCCCCTGCTGGACTCCAGCGGCCGCACGGCAGTCTACAAAGGCTTCGTGCGGCCAACAATGGAATACTGCTGCCTGGTGTGGATGGGGTCAGGTACATCCAGACTGGACAAAATCCAGCACAAGGCACTGAAGGTGATTGGCCCAGGCGCCTGGCTCCCCAGCCTGAAACACCGCCGACTGGTTGCTGCGCTTTCGTTCACGTTCAAGCTGTCCTACCTTCCAACAACAAGCCCCCTGAAGCCCATCCTCCCACCCCCAGCGAATCCCCGCCCAGTGGGTGGTCGATCCACTAGGTTAGCCACGGAGACTGCCCACTGCCACCCGCTCCAGCTCAAGTCGATGCTGCCCGTGCGCATTCGTAGCAGCGTCCAGGGTTCCTACCCAGACTGCATTATTCCCTTGTGGAACAGCCTACCAGCGGCCATTCTACCAGCACGGCCGCAACCCAGACAGCTCCAATCATTCAAAGGGATGTTATAAATTCTTTAAAAAATTCCTTTTTTTAAAGGGGAAGTTAAGGCAAAAATTAAAATTTCACCAGTTGTAGTCTTCGGGGTGCTGAGTCGAATGGTCTTGGTCCGAGAAAGCTCAGACGCTCCCTTCCTACTTGAATCCCAATCGAACTCGCGCACTTCCACCGAAACTGGGTGACTGCGCCCTACGAGATGGGGATTTGTATGCAAAATGTCACTAAAAGCGCCGTTTCGTTCTTATAAAAGCACGGATGACCGCGATTGGCCCATATGTTGTAGTCTTTTGGACGCTGAGTCGACTGGTTTTGGTCCGAAAAGGCTGCGATGCAGCGTTCCTCCTTTATTCCCAATCGAACATGGTTGAACAAGTGGTCACGTGCTCCTGGGTGCCCAAATCACCTGGTCACCACGCCAGCAGGCGACAACTTTCACACCAAGGTTCAACTCGAGTTCAACTCGAGTGACAGGACTGCACCCAAAAAAGGTCAAACAGGCTAGTAAGTTGTACCCTGCAGGCACGGTGACCAGCTGACTGGTGTACGCAGGAGCACGTGACCACTTGTTCAACCATGTTCGATTGGGAATAAAGGAGGAACGCTGCATCGCAGCCTTTTCGGACCAAAACCAGTCGACTCAACGTCCAAAAGACTACAACATATGGGCCAATCGCGGTCATCCGTGCTTTTATAAGAACGAAATGGCGCTTTTAGTGACATTTTGCATACAAATCCCCATCTAGTAGGGCGCAGTCACCCAGTTTCGGTGGAAGTGCGCGAGTTCGATTGGGATTCAAGTAGGAAGGGAGCGTCTCAGCTTCCTCGGACCAAGACCATTCGACTCAGCACCCCGAAGACTACAACTGGTGAAATTTTGATTTTTGCCTTAACTTCCCCTTTAAGAGGCATAACCTGGGATTCGAACCCGCACTATCGCGCGCCCTGCATGCATCCCCCGATACACTTCGCATACATACTAATTCTTCCAAGTTGCTTCACGTTATGATCTTGCATTTGAAAGCCCTATTTTTTACCATGGCCTAAAGTGGATGAAGCAAGTGGAGGAAGCTAGGTTTCCTTGGATCATGGAGTACACGAAGTCAGTACTTGTATCCAGTATCCACGATGGTTCGTTCTGCTCGTTTGGAGAACTCTTTCACTCACTCACCAAAAATCTCTCCTGCTTGATCTCGGGGGCGTTCTGTGAGTGACCATGTGGATTTCAGATTTCAGTCTCTCTCTCTCTCTCTCTCTCTCTCTCTCCCTCTCTCTCTTTCTCTCTCTCTCTCTCTCTCTCTCTCTCTCTCTCTCTCTCTCTCCTGCTCGATCTCGGGGGCGTTCTGTGAGTGACCATGTGGATTTCAGATTTCAGTCTCTTTCTCTCTCTCTCTCTCTCTCTCTCTCTCTCTTTCTCTCTCTCTCTCGCCTGTAGTAATAACATCCATCCACAGCAGTTCTGATCTGACTCGCGTTGGGTCGTAGCGCTGCAGTTAGGCGGAGTGGGTCAGGTCCTGAGGATTAGGGTCCAGCGGATAATGCTCCGAAAATGTTCGTATAATCATGCTAATCATAATGCTCCAAAAACTACCTGATAATGCTGATTATAATGCTCCAACAAGGGCTATAATGCTCTTGGTTTGGAACAAAAATGGAAGAAAGGCTGCACATTGTCAAACTTCCAGGAAAGGATGCATATAGTCAATCTGCTTCTGAAGCTGCTGCAATATCTCTCACGTGCTCCACCACTTCTTAGCACTGTAAGACATGATCGCGTCTCCATTGGCTGCTCTCCATTGCAACTTTGATGCAGGGCTGTGGCTGCCGGAACAGTGGGTGTATCAAATCTTTTCCCTTGCTTATCCATGAAGTGGGATGTGAGACCATTATTGCTGGTGACCAATTGGATGCTGGAAGCTTATCATGGGAAGTGATATTCCTGCCTGCAGATAAGCTGTCACTGCTTCCACTCTGTGAAAAATGTCTTCATCTGAAACAGCTTACGTGAGGCAAGTTCCTGAGAGGCGATCTCAGATCGAGATCCCTCCCTTTTGCGGAAATCCTGAACACACGTGGTCAGAAGTTATTTTGCCGCTCTACACCCTCTACTTGCGCTGTCTTCTTCTCCTGAGGTTGCGTGGAGACAAATAGTTGGCCACAATACTCTTCTTTTCTGATAGCACTTGACTATAGGCTTTGCACTACAATCGTCCACGACGAACTGTACGTGCTTCACCAGGAAAGTAGAACATGCGCTGCTGAGCACTCAAATCGACTTGGTGCTGCATCCATGAGAAATTCTAGTTCTTTTCGAGCCTGCTGAGCTGGACTCGGCAAAGGCAGTTATTAATTTTGGAGTAAGCTCTATCCGTTTATAGCCCCTCCTTCATGCAGGTCCAAATGTTATCAATGGATTAGTGTTTACTTCAGTATCGCTAGACATGCTATGGCCAGAGCCTATGGCATAACACATTTTATTAACAGGAAACTCCTCTTCCTCTGTTTGATATTCACGTCGCGTAGATCTACGTAGTCTCCTCCATCATCCATGGCTCTCCATGATTTCTAAAAAAATCCTCGTAAATCATCGTTACGGATTTTGTGCACGTCGAAGCATAAACAGCCTCAATTGCAACGTTGGGCATGCTACAATGTAACATCACAATATGTAGCAATGTCAGTAAAATTAATGTGCATGTCATGTACATTTACTGACATTGCTACATAAAGACTTTATGTAGCAATGACACACTGCATGTAGTCAGGTAAATGTAGCGCTAAAGGTGTTACGTGTGACGGTGTCTACACTCACAAAGTCATGTGCCGGTACAATTATAATTATGGCGTTGCACCTCATGCGGTCATGGCTTTAGCCGATTGTTGCCAAAAACCATGAGATTTCCCGACAATATCCACTATAAAACTCGTTATGCCGCTCAAACCTCACATAATGCTCGTCTTGTTCCTTCCTAATGCTCCATAATGCTGTAATGCTCGGATAGTCTTATAATGCC